TTTTTTTTTCTTCTTCCCCCGTACAAAACTTGGAAAAGCGGAAATGTAATGGGTTTGCGTCACAATCAAAGGCACCGCCGGTGAGTTTATTTATTAATAGGAGAAGACCGAAAGATGTTGGGGAGTGGCATGCAGAAGCGGTGCGCTAGTGATTGAAGCTCAGGTATACTCTGCTTGTTATACGCATGCGCATATGATATTGGTTATGCGCATGCCCATATGAAAAATTCCCATGATCGATATATCGAGAATAGTTACAATCGATTATCTCCATGAAATCCGCCATGTTCGATTAATGGCCCATCTCTCTTTTTATATTGGAAAATCGTATCTATTACATGCCCGTGTTGACCTGTATAATTCAGTCATGTTCTTGTTAGATAATTATTCGTTTTATCTGTAATGATGAGTTCTGCGGATTTCGCATTTCATTTGGCAGAAAAGGCGTCGTGCATTCTGGAGTTCCAGTGACATCTTTAGGGGATTCCCATAAGGCCGATGAAACATTCATCATGAGTGGATAGAGTTGGATGGCCTCTTTTTATATGTTAGAGTCGATTTTTGGAACCGTTCGTAGATAATATCGCAATCTACTCTTCATCAAGTTCGAACTGGAGGGAAATATTGAAAAAAATATTCAATGCCCTGCAAAAATGTTTGATAAATCAATGAGAATTCTATTTCTTATTGAAAATTCAAATAATCGAAATTTGTAGATTGAGTATTTATTTTATTACATTGTGCACTAAAGTAGTGCACAGAATTCTATTTATTTATTTTTTTTTAAAGGGTTGTAAAAAATGAGTAATTTAATAATGATTTTGCGTCGATTAGCGCCCTAGGAAGTTGATAACGAAAAATGTAGTTTTTTCATGTGAAAATGACTGAACAAACGAGCTAGAATTTTCAATGCATTTTTATTGTTGGCCATGTACTCTCACTGACAAAAATCAACAATAATGGGCCTCCGGCAATATTTATCATCGTGTCTCGGCGTTTGCTCTCACATAATCATCTTTGTATAATGTTTTGTATTTAATTCGTTATATATAATTATTAACGGGTGTTATGCATGTGCGTGTTCGAGTCTCTTGAGATGTTTGAAGATTTTTCAAACTAATTCAATCGTTAATACGATATTTAACATTAAGAGAATGAATCTATGCGGTATGTAAATGCTGATTATTAAATTTCATGTTGTTCATTTAATTGTTTGTGGTGTTTTCATCTAAAAAGCGATAACCGAAATGCACGTTCGAATTCGACTTTTGGAGAATATTCAATTTATTTTAACTTTTTATTCCTGATTTTCTGAGTATTCCAACCAATGATGTAGCTAGGAATTCCGTCAACGCGTTTCATTATAATTATATTTCAAAATTGGAAATAATGTCTTAAACAGGTGAAAAGAATCAGCAATCAGGATGACTTGATAATTGTTTTTATCACTTATATATACATATTTATGTATAATTTTTATTATTCTTCTGGGCAAAATATAAAAGTCACGTCTTTAATTCACTATTGAGGGAATGAACGAGCAATTAATTTCATGATCAATTGTTCAATTCCTCAACTCTACGTTTTTTAATAAAATATAATAATTTCGATTCTTTCGTAGAGTAAAATAGGTATTTTTCTCGTATTCTTTGTCCTTCCGCGTCTCACTGTTTTCGTTCATGCCTCAACCTTTATCAAGCGCAAAATATATGGGCCCGAACCACAGCTAATTGGGTTGTCAATCATGTAATTTATATATTCTTGTCATTTGTTTTTTTTTTCTTGTAGTCAAACGATTTCCATATAACGATTGTCAGAAAATACGTTTCACTCAATTTTATCGAAAGAACATTACAGACGTCTCGTTTTGTAAATTTTTACGTGATCACAATTATTGTACAAATTTTTGTTACTCCGAAATCTCGAGTCTTACAAAAAATGTCAAAAGTACGATTTTCTTTTACCACTAATTTATTTTTTCCCCTCAATTTCGGACCATTTTATACTTTCAAATACCGAAAAAGACAGCTGGACTAGTACAAATTTTCATTATCATTACGCGTTATGATTTTCTCATTATTTCATTCCCAAAGGCTTGTAACATCGGAAGATAGTTCCCAGCACATCATTCATTAATTCGTTAATCAATTATTCGCTTTCACCATAAATTCAGAATGACCAGTTCGACAAATCGAATTCGACTCAATTCCAAGTTAATTCGAAAGGAGAATTCTCGTTACACCTACAGAATATTTACAAATCTACAAGCAATATGTTTCCTCGTATGCCACGAATTCATTGGCAGCGACTAAAAGATATTTTTCTCATCTACAATGCCTTCTAGTATACTTTTATGAAAAAATACTATATACTGTGTATCAACACTTCTAGAAATCTATAATTTTCCGTCTGTATTTATCATATCCCTCGCATCGATGATTATTCCAACAACATAAGTACCCACCGTCGAAATACGAATGATCATTCGCCATTTAGACTCGTAACTCGCACTTTTACAACAAATTTTTCATCTTTTCATTGAAATTTGTACTAAGCCGTACCTCACCATCAATTATAGCCACAATAAACCTCAATAAGATGAATTGCGTTAGATTTCAGAATGAATCAGTATCTCCACAGCATCACAAATAATTCGAGTGCTCTCAGCCCATTTGGATCACTACGTAATTATCATTACTCTATCACAAAGTGACGAATTCATAGGGAAGCTGTCATTGCAGACTAAGCAATGAAGGATAATGATACTAACGATTAAATGAGTTATATCAAATACGACAGGGACAAACGACCTTGACACCTTCAATCAATTCTTCACCATCATATAAAATAATTCATAAAAAATTTCCCTATTTCTACCATTTTTTTTTCACTGAACTCTTGCATTCTCTCTTGCACGGTATGGAGAATATTTTGTTTATAAATCATAACAAATGAATCTTAACAAATCAATGCAACGTAAAACACAAATACGTTTTGATTCAACTGGAAAACAGCATATTGCAGGGCAAAGGCTGATTACGTAGCACCGTGTCTCTTAATTATCACTTAGTTATCAATTGAATGGTCTTTTCCAGATAAACGATGCTCATCATCGTATTATAGAACGTTCAATCTATCATAGATTTTTCAAAGAAAATATAATAAATGATATATTATTAGAAATTATGTACATATTTACAATGGAATAGAATTTCCATATAATTTCTCATTATTCTCTTATAATGCCTCTCGTTAAATAGATATTGCATTTATCATTGCTTCTCATTCATGTCCCTCTAAGACCCAGTAGTTTTGTTAATAATCTCACGGGTGGTATCAAGCTGACAACTGTTAATGTTCAAGTAACTTTATCGTCAGCTTAAGTTGCTCTCATACCACTCCAGGCTGCATTGTGAGAAGATATGTTGTTGGATCGTAGTATCCAGCCAAGTAATATATGTCGTTGTTGTCGTAGATCGTCAAATATCTGTGGGGTTCTTTACCAAGTTTTTCCGTGTACTCTTGGAGGGGGAGTACCTCACATTTGTGGGATATTGTTTGTACGTCGTTCTCGTCCATGTGAGGGGATTCAAACAGAGCTCCCTGAAACAAATAAGACAAGATAAAGATTATATTCACGAGGAAAAACGTATAAGATGATAAATCCGATGATATCCGAGCACAGGCTATTTCACTCACCGGATATTTCAAATTGGATGGACAGCCAACAGTCTCTTCAGGATGGTAAAACCATTTGACCTTAACAATCATATTGGAACTCGATGTTTCCCACATCGACTCGATCCTACCGATGTAGGGTCTGTCAGGACGTCCAGTTGAAAGAAACACAGCGCTGTCTCCTATCTGTATCGCTTCACTGCCCCTCTGAATGGCTTTGAAGAATTGTTTTTTCGCCCGTCCCTTTGCACCCGGTCGCCTGTAACCCTTCCCCGACCAGCCCCACAATTGTCTAGCTGGCAAGAAAGCTGCTATTTTGCTCCTACTCTCTACAGACTCCTGACGCTCCCTCGCCTTTCCTCTCCTCTCTCCTTTTTTTCCTTTATCGGGCTTGTCTGATTTTTCCTCTGGGGCTGGTTGATCGTCAGTCACACCTGGAATTGGTTGAGGAGGTTCTACCACTATTTCTCCCTCTTCTCCCAAAGGAGACACCCTTGAAGCTTCTTCCTCGCTCTTCTGGCCAGAGCAACTCTCTCCGCCACTGAAATTCACAAATGATCAGATCAAAAAAGCAATGAAAATTGTCCGAAATTTCAAGCTATAAAATTTGTTTTCTTCATAAAATAAGAATGCGACTACCAATACCTCATGTGACTGCCATCACTGTAGCTACCATGATGACTATGTCGATGTTTATGCTTCCGATGTTTCCTATGTTTATGCTTCCTGTGCTCCTCGCAGCACTTATGCCTCCTGTGCTTGCGTTTCCCCTCCTGAATCTCCTGAAGTCGCTTCAACTTATCCCTCCTCCTCTTCTTCAGTCTCTTCCTTTCGCGATACTCATCGATTGTCCTACCATCAATTTCTCTTGCATCATCAGATTTTGGATTGCCCGGTGATTTGGACGTCACATCAGATGGTGTTTTAACAATGTGAATGTCCCGTTTGTCATCCGTCGACGTGGATATCTGACGCCTGCGTTTTCCCAGCGAGAGTAAGGGATTTGGATCGTACTCAACGACTGGATAATCCGGCTGTAACAATCTGATATCGTCCAGAGCAATCCTCCCACTGTCGCCATCATCAAATTCAACGCTAACAAACTTATCGTCAAGATCAGAATCAGGCTCTGAAGGCTCAACCGAAGTACCAGGGTATAAACAACGATATTGCTGACTCCAGTAAGCACATAGACGAGTGCCTGGTGACAGCTCCTTCGTTGAAGTTGGACAGATTTCAACAATAGCATCTTGAAGTATCTCCTCACGGGAGTGTATATGCGGCCTATTACCTCTCTCACCATCCAAAGTTATCGCGTAAACGTCTGGTGCCTGAACTGCACTCAATCTACCAGCGTAAAATAGCCCACCCATTGCCGTTAACACTCTCAATTGATCGATTGCAAGGTGCGCAGATGTGAGCTTACATCTGTTGACAATGCTCTCAATTCTCTCAGCTTTTTCTACCTTAGCCGCCCTAGCGCACTCTTTGCATTCTTTACAATCCGAGGATTTTCTTCGTTTTGATTCCTTCTTATCGTGATCCCCCGACTTTCGTCGGGATGGGGACGAACAAGAGGATTTTCGCTTTTTCTTTTTGCACCGTTCGTAATTCTCCAAGCCCTCGTCTTCACTCGGTTGAGGTACTTGCTCCGTGGATTTAGAATCTTCCGCTGGGGCTGGAGATTGCTGTTCGACTTGTGGTGGCTGTACTAGTTCTGGTGTTGTGTCTTCGATGGTGCATCTCCACTCAGACTGATCAGCCCCATCGCTACTCCACTCCTTGAGTTTAGCCTCGGCTTTTAGCTTTGGCTTCAATTTAACAACCTTCTCCAATCTTGCCTCTTGACTCAACTTTGCTTTCTCCGCTATTATCGAACTTATCACATTTTTATTGTGAAGGGGAGTTTGCTTGACTGGTTTTACTTTGGACTTGGTTATTTTATGGGACTTTGTCATACCTTTAGACGCAGATAAACCGGATTTGAAGGGCACTGGAGTGTAACCAGCCTTTCCATTCAATTTATTCTGCAAATGACGGCTCTTAGAGCTCAACAGATAACCAACTACTGAATTCTTGCTCTTTGATTTTTTAGCGACTATTGTTTCGGTTAAGTGTCTCACGCTGCCCGATGTACACATGAGTTTACGGGGTCGTCCGACTTTACGTTTTTTCGATGCTGAGCTTAAGCTCGAGGCTGTGGGAACTGGTGATGAGGTCTCATAACCTGTGGAGACTGGATTTTTATCCTCATCTTCGGACAGAATTTTATTATCTAAAACTGTTATGGGAGATGCCGCGGGGGCAACTGGAATTGGAATACTTGGGATGCTATCTAGAAGTTTAATGTGACTCCTCTGCTCTACCAATTTCACTAGATTCAAATTGCACCTGGGTATTCCGAGAACGTTTGGACTCAGCGAACTCTCGAATGATCCTTCGGATTCGTTTTCCCGATTGATATTCTTTACGTTGCACACCTCGTAGTCTGTACTTTTCGTTCTCAACTTTGGAGGTATTCTCCTGTCGTCCTTTCTGTGGGACAATTGTGGGCCCATTGGCTGTCCATCGTTCACATTCGACGAGCTTTTCATGTTAGCATCAGCAGGCGAAGCCTCACTGGGACGATCTCCTGGCACCTTGCAACCTGACGACTTTCCATTCATCTCAACACTCTCAGCAATAGCCAATCGTAATTTACTCAATTCAAGGCTCTTTCCATTCTCATTATCCGAATCCGTCAAATCATTGTCAGCATCTCCATCATCACCATTCTTATCAGAATTTCTCTGATTACCACCAGAAAAATCAGATCTCCATTTCTTGTTAAATGCATAAAGGATATCCTCACACGAGTGTTTTCTCTTCTCGAGTTTCTTTCTGTCAGCGTCAAAACTCGGTACTTTCCCAAGATTCATTAATAATCTACCAGCTCTTGAAATCTCTTCAGAATTCTCCAAAGTCGTTGCACGTTTAACTGTGCGTTGGTCATCACCGACTTCCTCCATGAAACGCTGCTCAGCTAATGCACATAAAAGTCCAAGTGGACTGTCGACATTATTATTATTGCTCTCAGTCTGGAGTGCCTGGGGTGTCTCCTTAGTTGGTGACTTCTCGCTCTCGCTTTCACTCACAGCTCCTGGCTTCAAATGCTCAAGCTGTAGGATGCTGTTCGAGAGTAGTTCAAGGCCACTCAGATCTAAGTTAGGCTTTGATTTGCCAGACGATTTGGACTTTTTCTGGGAATCCTGTGTAATACCAGAAGATTTTGAGCTACTTGCGGAAACCTTGGTTCCCTCGATAGCTACCGTTGGTGTAGTTGATGGTGACACCTTCTCTGTTTTTAAACCTCTAACCTCAGTCTCCTTAAAGTTATTATTGCTACTTGTGAAGTCGTTATTATTGTCACTGAGAGATTTCACAATCAAACCGGCTGAGACTCTACTGCAACTCGTATCTTTATTATCATCATTAATGCTCTCTGAAGTAGAGGCTATTTTGCAGGATCGTAGGATGTGTTTTTTCAGGCCATTCTCCAATCGCCGGGGGCCAATTGGATTAACGGTGCTCTGATCTCCATGTTGGGAGATCGAAGGTTGCTGATGCTCTTGCTGTGCAGCAGCATTCTTCTTGAGTTTCTCCACAACGTTCTCTATTCCAGGATGACACTTCTCCACGCACTGTTTTTTTATGGGTTTTTCTGGAAGACTGGGGCCATTGGGAGTGGCTTCTTCGGCCTCTCTCTTGACTGCCCTCGCCGGATTAACCTCGACATCGGTGTAGTCTTCGCAGTCTATCGATGGCATATCAAACGATTTGACTGTGATCTGAGGATGCGGAGTTCTGTCACAGGGAGAGCTCGAATCGACTGTTGGTGGCTGTGTCTCCTCGCTTGTAGAGACAAGCCGGGGAATATTAACTTTAAGGCTCTCAGTCTGGATGTTTCCCAGAGAGGATGAAACAGCCTGATGACTTTCTTCCTCCATCTGAGTATTGAGTTGAATATCTCGTCTCTTCTCCTCGAGTAATTTCTCCTTGTTGAGTAGCTCCTCAGAGAACTGGGGCCTCTTGTGCTGCTCGAGGGGATCCCTCCGCCTCCCGAAGAACTCCAGATTCTCGTGAAAACTGTCGCAATTCTCCTCGGTTATCTCAATCATCTTGGCGCCCATTCTCGATGGCCTGTCCTCATTATCGTTGTCCGTTGTTAATGACTCGGCCTCGTCCGTGTCTGCCTCGACGTGACTCAATCTACTGACGACTCTCTCAATCGTTTGATCGACAGAACTCACAACTTCAGTCTTCAGTGTATCCTTGATCACTGCGCTCACTTTGACAGTCATCTCGGACTTGTCGGATTTGCTTATTAGACTGTAGGCCTGGGGTTTCTCAATACTTGAAGAGACAACGTTGAACGTACCGAATACTAATTGTTGATTGGTTGAGGTTGAAAGCTCCTGTTTTACAACACCGTCCACCACGGGGATGTGTTCTTCGTCGGTTTCTGGGGCGTCTGTCTGATTGGAAGCATCCTGAACACCTATCAATGTACTCTCGCTAGTCTCGATTGGCTGAGAAGGCGTCACTTCTGGTGGAGGGGTCAGACAGGAGACTGGTGACGTCGCTTTTGATATGAACGAATTCCTCTGATTGACCGAAACAAAAAGACCGTATTGTAGACGAATGGGGAAGTGGATTGAATCAGTGCCTTCAGTTCCAACTCACACTTTCCTGATTATTCTTTCGAGAATTGTATATGATTTGAATTCAATTTCAATGGAAAATATTCATTACGTCTCTCATTCATTTTGGAAATTCATGAAAATTGGGTTTTTCTTTAAAACTAAAATTTTCTTTGAAATTATTGATTGTCAGATATAAACTTGACAGATGTCTTGTAATATTTCGATTAGGCACCCTTCAACAATTTTTCCTCTTCTTCATCATTATTTTTTTAAACATTCAAGTGGTTTCCGCATCGCAATATGCATTCCATGTGTAGCAATATTTAACACTAACAAGATAAAATTTAAACCAAAGATTACATTCGATATGTACACACGGAGAGGAATATTGGAAAAGTACGTGAGAAGTTCCGTAGAAATTACTGTTTCAAACGTAAACATGGAGCGAACGGCAAAATCGGAAAAAGTACTACACGAGTAGAAAAATTGACGAATCAGTTCCGTAAAATTTACTATATCGTTTTTTTTTTTAATTCAGGAGAGATTTGCACTCACAACCTCTGATACGTCAGACAAGTATTTTACCCATTCGCCAGAAGTTTATTGTTATTATTTCAATTGTTAACACACAGTCGATAAGTTAACATGGCTGCTGAGATTACGAAAAATCAAGTCACGAAAAATTGACGTGCAAATCAATTAATCTTTGCGTTTTGTGGCGTACTTTTTACTTAGAACTATAAGTTTTACGAGGCCAGAAAAAAATAGGTAACTGTATGGCAATTGTTCGGTGCAACTAATAAAATTTAGTGACCGTCTTCAACTTTTTACCATAATTTTCGATAAGAATGACTGACATCATTCTTGAGCCCACCATTACGTGATTAGTCACGTACTTTTTCCTGTACTTCTCTCTCCGCGTTACATGCGGATGTTAAACTATTAATTTTTCAATGAAAGCTCGACCTTTCCAGAACCATCATGAAATTCAAACAAAAAGGACAATTAAATTGCCAATAGACCGAGCTGAAAATGCAGAACTATTTCAATTCATGTGACGTTGTTGTTGCTAAAAATGTCCTGACAATTAATTTGAAATTTCCTGTGTAGTTTTCCAATGGTATAGAAATCAATGGGATTAATTCGAATTGCTGGACTGACCTGTGTTCGACACTGTGTCGATTCGGATTGACTTATTTGGACGAGCGCCGGCGCATGAGGATAGTAATGCAACGTCGTCAACAGAGGTGTATCAGGAACGAGTGGTCCGGTCATAGTCGTCATCGTTTGGAGGGCTTTACTGGGCTCTGCTGAAGCTAATTGGGACAATTCAATTGAATCGTTAGGCCATGGTCTCGGGGGCAATTACAATCGATTCAAAAAAAAAATTTATTATCTGCTGATTCATTGTTTTACCTTAAACTCTTTCAGTAATGATTTATCTCAGAAATGCAATTGATTATGTGGATCGATTGATTGATATTGAGATCTCAATATAAAAATAATTCATCGAATGGATTACCAATTATCGTTGTTGTAGGAGTTGTACCGCAGTCTGCCTCAATTTTAACGATGGGCACGTTATTTTGCGTTTTACGTTTATTCTCAGTGAGTACAAGTCTTGCTCCATTCATGTCGCTCAACAGCTGGAGGGAGGGAGGTGGTGGTGGTGGTAACAATAAGGGCGAAGGTGCACCAACATTTGGACCATTGTGATGAGGATAATTCGGCCAAACTACTGCCTGCTGCAGTTGCTCTGCTGAATTATTCCAATATTTTCATTAGGAGGATAATTATGTAGAGCTATTACTTGGATATATTAAATGTAATGAAATTTTACCAGCAGCATGGATCAACAATAGATGACCTGTTGATGGATCTCTGACAAGCTGTAGACCTCCTTGAAGCCCAACGCCGAGCTGTGGAAATCCAACTGGCTCCAGTGCTGGCATTGCTAAACATAAAAATCCACTACATAATGCAATTGTTGTAAATTTTTTATGGGATCCTTTCGGAGGGAAAGGTTTTACTCCGTAATTGAATGACTGTGCAAATAGACGTTGAGCTTGATACACTCGATTTAATCGAAATGTCACTCGGTCAACGGTGTGTATCAGGTGAAAATGGACGTGAAAATCAGTGATGAGAGGTCAGTAGATAGAACTTGCTTGTATGAGAATAAATGTTATTGACTCGGATGGAGAAATCGAATTGAATCATCTCGATATCGGATAATCCATAATTGATACATTCAACTCTAGAGTCCGAAATGAATGGATGAAATTATTTTATTTTTCAATAACAAAAAATAAGAATCCACTGAAAAATTATAAAATTGCAAAAACAAAAATTTTCTGTCATGTTATTTTTAATATGGAATTCCCTCGAATGTCAGATTCAATTGAAATTTGAAATCCTCAAACTCTTTTCCCACAATCCCAAAATGTTCTCTACTCACGAGAAAGAATGTACGCTAAAATAAGTGAATGTAATTAGCATTGTAATCAAACAAATGATTCTGGTAATGATTGCCCGACCCATAGAAATAAAACCACACATAGCTATTGCATCACCAATAATTGGCGCACGTAACTTCAAAAGAATCCCCAATCAATAAATTCAATCATTTTAATGACAAGGAACAAGAAGCGAGTAATACCGAGTAAAAAAAAAACCCCATCCCCCATAAAATTCCCAAAAGATTAAATGATCAAATCAGTCTGATTGATAATGACGATTAAATTATTCCGCAATGTCACCTGCTGTGGGATATTGCCATAGTGTTGGTGGCCATGTGGCTGGAGAAGCGGTTGATCCAGCAGTGGTGGCTGAGTGTGCACTAGGTCCAATGCTAGCCAAGCCACCTAGACTATTTGGATTGAGGGTAGAGCCAAGAGTGGCATTCACAGAGGGTGCAATAGCACCTGGGGGAATGGCGAGATGGGCTGGCCTATCATCCCCACCACTACCACAATGTAGAAGCGTAGTCCCGCCCACGGTCATGGCTGTGGTCGATCCTGTAAAAGGCCAAACCCCCTTTTCTCATCAACATGTCACTCTTTTTTACTCTGATTCTCCTCGCACTGTCTCCCCCACCATCATACCACCCCCTCTAATTCTCTCTCTCAACTTTTTCACATCGTCTCTATCATTTTTCTCTCTCTTTCTCTCCACCACAAAAACACCCACACGTCAAACGAACCACCACAGATACATATATATCCTTCTATATCCTTGTATATCCTTGTATATCCTTGTATACCTTTGTATATCCTTCTATATCCTATATCCCCTCACCCACGTCACCCCCCCTCTCTCTCTCTCTGCGTTTCTCCTTCTTTCTCTCTCTCTCTCTCTCTCTCTCTCTCTCTCTCTCTCTCTCTCTCTTCCTACCCCACCCCCTTTTTCTCATCAAGCATTTTCTATATAACCCTGGGACTGTTGTACCCCTCTGCGATTCATTCCACCTCTCTTCCTCTCTCAACATTTCTGATTTACTCTGTGTGCGCACCGTGCCGCGCCAATGTACCTCTTTCACCACCGGGGCAAACATGGCTGTATAGTTGCCCACCAAATGCCGCTACATATAACCCATGTACTAATCCATTCTCTAAACATTCGTTGAGGTTTTTTGGCGAGATGAGAGGGACCCGAAGGTTGTTGACACTAACTAGGAACCGTTTCAACCCAGCGATTAGTACCTAATGACTGAAAAAGTTTGAGACTCGCTTCTGCGAATTGTTTATTACTCAGTCGTACGTTTTTTTTAAGTTTCTAATGCCTTCGTAATGATGCAGCTATGCGGAGGATATGAATTTCAATTATTTCTTGGTAGTTGACTGGGGAGGGCTTCAACTCATATCTCGTATTAATGAATGGATCTTTTTGATAAGTTCGTTGCAGAACAGGAAGTTTGGGCAGATGACAGGTTCGGTGCGAGAGGAATAGATTTTTTATTTGGGGAAGATTAATGGGCATGGGGTACTTGGAATAAATTATCATCTCGGTTAATTTGAGGATTTTTTTTGGGGTGGGGTAATGGTGAAGAATATTCAATGTTAGATTGTGTGGTAAAAATCTGTGGTGGTGGCTCGGGTTTTGAGAAAATTCAGGGTTTTTAATTGAGAACCTGTTGTTTCTCACTGCTGCTTGTTGTGAAGTTTTTAATTCATATTTACTCATTAAAACTGTTTGTAGTAACGGTCGCATGTCATTATTATTTTTTTCTCTCTTCGCATTTCAATTCACAAAACTACTCTTGGAAAAATACTTAGGAATAGGATTTATGTCAGGTTTAACGATTTTTTTTATAAAGCCTAGTATATTTTTATTTGAATTTGCATGATGTATCTGCCTCTTTATCGTAAGAGGAATTTTCACTTAATTCAGGTGAAAACTCATTTTCTTTAAGAGGAAAAACAGTTAGAGTCGTTTCTAGAATTGAAAAAATTTTCCGAATTTCAGAGAACCTTGCGATTGGAATTCACTTTTTGATAGGATCATTAACGAAAATGAGAATTTTAGCTGTATTATTACGAAAATAAGTGGAAATCATGAAAATTCAATTGAATATTTGCTTTCGCTTGCAGTCCGTTAAAATTTCAGGGAAATTTGACCCTGAAATTCAAGAAACGTGTGGCATTCTCATCTTTCCGCTGCTTAGGAATTGGAAATTCTCTCGAATTATCTGTGAGACCTCACGACAAAAAGATATATTCAATCTCCTATATTTTACACTAGATCCCAGTATATTGAAAAATAAAATTTCTCTTTTAATCAGAAGACTCGTTCCTTACGATCCAAAAATTATCTCCCTCTTTTAAAATTCCAATATTCCTCTCCAAAAAAGATGTTTTCCCAAAATTAGCAATCTTAACTATACAGTTAACAAAAAAAATCCCGAGAATAATTATGAGATGTAAATAAAAGATTCAACGTGCTAGTCAAAAGTATCAGTGAGGTTTTCATCTGACCGAGAAGGCGTAAAATTCTCCAGTTATTTCCTAACCGTCGAAAAGTACAAAAATATCCTCCGGCTAGTTCTTCCAGTTTACCTCGAGCCAATATTTTTAAATCCACACAAAAAGTAAATATTATATTAACCCTAAGTGTTCACATGATTTTGAATTGTAATTTTGCCTGAAATTAAGGAAAAGCATAGGTAAAGAACGGGGCATTAAAATTTCCTCCAATTTTTAACTGAATCAGCAGTAATCCTCTCGTATTATCAACAGTTCACTGAGAATTCTCAATTTTCCCCAAATCGATCAACTCCCCCTTTATTTTAATTCAGCTCCCAGATATGAATTCAAACATGTTCAAACTCCTCTCGCCCACACATATTCGGTATCCACCACACAACCCAACGATGGCACTAATGAAAGCACCGAGCGTATCGGATAACGCTTATCCGCAACGCTATCCCTCCGGTGTAGATATACGAGCATACGGGTGCGCTGATTTTGCTCGACACTTTAATTCCAATTTTATGTGCCACCCTCTGAAAATTTCAGTTTGATCCTGCCCTAAACCCTCCACCCAATCCCCCAAAATACAATTCACAAAACACTCACCTAGACTATCCGGAAAGTGATGATAGGATGCATGATGAGACGTATGATGACTCAGTGAAACATTTCGCATTGACGTTGATGATGTCTCTTGGTGTTGCAATCTTTGTCTCGCAACAGCGATACCAACGGGTATACCACTTGCTGCCGTTGATACAACAATTCCTGGAAATGAAGTGGAATCGCAAAGTATAAGAAACAGCGTGAGGAAAATTACGATTAGACGGTACAAGTGGTGGATTGAAGACGATGGAGGGGCGGGAGAGAGAAGTTGAGGAAAAAATAACATGAAACGTAGATTAAAATTGTTATAAACCTGATGTAATGGCATGTAGGCGTGCAGAATACCTATCGTAATTTGCTGGAATCATTTGCGGTTGCAGCTTTTCGTATATAAATGCATGCATAGAGCCTCGAGACTCGTTTCCGAGCCACGCCTTGTATTTGCGTCGCCATGCGTGTCACGCACCTCCTACTTAACTCCCCCCCTCCTTGGTCCCCCTATTTGCCCCCCCCCCCTTCCCTTCCCCCGCATCACCCTCATCACCCCACTTGGGTTTTTTGTTCATTTATCTATCCCCGAGTTGTTGTACATCTTTTGATAGATAGGAGGATAATCTGATAGCAGACATTTTCATAGAAAATCTTCAATGTTTTCAATTGTTAATGTGAGAATTTTAATGCACTCGCTGTTAATGTCATCTGGATTTGTTTTTTCTTTTTTTTTTTTTTGTCGAGAACACTTGAGGTACCCCTTGGGCACAGGAGCTCAGTCTTATGCCCCTCCTATCCCTCTGCACCTCGTTATGAATCCGAGGGTTCATGACTGCTGAAAGAAATTCCATTGGTCCAACCAACGAGGGGAGTGGATTACTTTTTGCTGGTGAAGGGATCAAAAAATTACCCAGTGAAATCAATACGCGAGGTTGGAGGGTGTGTGGGAAGATATGGTGTATGAATTGTGCTCGATGACTTTTAGATTCAATGGGAGGTGAAAAATCAGGTCTCGGAGTACTCGTGAAAGATGAAATAAACAATTATCGATAAATTTATCGTGATGCTTGTTAATTGTGCAGTTATTGAATTATTGTTAATTGACTGGAATGTACTTCTCTGGTGATCACTTAGTTTTCATATTGTGGGTAAACAATATGTTTTAATAGTAATCATTCTAAATAATTTATTTATAAATTTAGAGATAATTATCTGTTGGTAGTATGACTGTTCCGTATTTAAAAGGTATTGTCGGTGTTTTCAGAAGAGAATGTGAAAGAAATGGCGGTCTATACCCTGAGGGGAAAATTGTTTTTCCTGAAGTATATTTTACATCCGGAAAAACGGTTATTCATTGGAAATAAATATTGCGTCCGGAAGACCTTAAATATGAAGTTGAACAAGTGATTGTTTTAATGAATTTGAAGGGTAAACCATTGTTACTGTAAATCACGTAAATTTGTGAGAGTGCAAGCAGGAAAATGAGATAGTAATAATTGAAGAGGATTCTTACCATTCTCGGACTTGGTGGGAAGTGGCTCGATTTTGACAGCAGTGGTGGTGGCATGGAGTGACGTAGAAACTTCAGCAACTTGACATGGTACCGTTGTGAGGGGTTCACGTTTCACTAGATTGGTGGCAATACTCTGGCTGCCAGTGTTCTGATAGGATGGAGAGTCCTGGCCATTCCAGGATGACACCACTGGTAGGGTTCTACTGCATCCAGCCTCTGAGTGTACGATTTTTGTTTTTCCTGGTTTATTGAATGATAAAACGAGGATTGAGCTTGATATAGAAAATAGTGAAACGAAAAGTGAGTGTTAAACTGGGTATGCGATAAAGCCAACTGGCTAGACCGCTTAAATATAGAACGGAGGAGAAGTTTCAGGATTACGTAAGCTTGGAAACTCTATAGAAGCCTGTCACCTCTAGTTCTGAACATGACCATGCACATAGCCAGAAAATAGTATTATTCCCGGAGGCTAATGTCTCAAGGTCGAGTAATTGAGGAACCAGAGATAAATAAAGTTGAAGATGTCTTACCGGTGGCATTGGAGCTCTTGCAGACGCAAGACTGTCGTGATGTCTTGTTCTCAACTTTTATTGTTTGAGCTTGTGCTGTTACAATGGATTCCCTCTTTTTAGTTGTACTCTGTACAAATGTATTTGCTGTTTGTCCACCTTGAACAAGAACGGTACTAACTGTACAGGCTGTTGCTGATGGTAGTGATGCGCCGTTTAGTAATGATGATTGACAGTTACCGACTGGACTGACACCGGCTCCTGGTGATTGGTAATCGTGGAGAATAACACCGGTGCTTGGGGATATGACACTTGCTGGGGTGTTTGGGGAGGAGAAACTATTTATTGTCAGGGTTGGGGTACCTGCGGTCACCAGCGAGAGCTGGGGAGGGAACGTTCCTTGATGAAGACCACCTGAGGAAGACAATTCCGGGTTATTGGTTGAGCAAACATTTTTTTCAGGATGGACTGTCTTCGATCAAGTTCAGAAAACACTCATCCATTTATGAACTTCATCCGAATTCTACGCGGTTTCGTACTTGTGTGAAGGACATGGAATGTTCAATGTCATCTTCACGGCGTTCATGATTGAGTTCGTACCAAGTCGTGATGGTATTCACGTCAGAGTCATGTGAATTTTTTTCCGCAGATACACGGCTGAGAAATTACACTCGAAAGTTCAGGTCAAAAAATGGATATTTTCCTTTTGATTTTTCATCTCATGATTTTCATTTCATGATTTTCTTGAATATTCTGGGTACTCTCGGTTTTCAGGTCAATATGTCACCGAAAAAAAGTCGTGAAAATATTGAAAATTACGTAAAAATTTTCCTGAATTTTTCAGCTATTGAAAATTTAATTGTATATGTCAATTATCATTTAACACGAAGAATGGAATTTTTCTGATGGATGAAAAATTTAATGGTCCCTTTTAATTGAAATTGAATTGAACTTTGGATTGAAATTTCAATGAATTTTTAACAGTGTCGGAGAGAAGCTTTTGAGATATGAATATGAATACTTTTGGTAACGATGATTATTTTTGAATGGACAAGGTTTTGTATTGGTGGAATGAATGGAACTGTCGACGTTCCAAGGACAGGCAGCTCTGAGATTCTAAAAGTCATTAGATAATGACTACGTCAATAGGGGAGACGTGGGAATTTTTCACGGGAAACATTTTGTACCGGGAAATAAATTCGACGGTTAGATCAAGAGTTTAGTTTTTAAAGATGAATATCACAGAAATCGATAACTAAAGGCTCATGCATTCATCTATAATTCCACAAAACGCATTTCGTATTTCGATACTTGTGTTCTAGTTGATGTAGAATTTAGAATGCACACAGAAGGAAAGGTTTTGATGCTAGAAATGTTTCTAGATCTAAGAGAACTACCTCTTTATCCTAGAGAACAGATTTCTTCTGTCTATAAACTTTATTGTTGAATATAACACTAAAAAATTATTTTCTAGCATCGAAAACTTTCTTCTTTCGTGTAATTTTCATGGAGGGAATGATTGCGTTACTAAAAAGTTGTGTCGGTATTCGTACAAGAGTATTCTGATCCGGACAGAGAAAATGTTTTTTGAGAGAATATTTTGTGAAGCCTTTATGCTGCTCAGCTACGGCTTCAATATCGATACTCGATGGAAATCAAAGCAACTATAAAATTCAAAGAAAAGAGAACTTTGAAAATAATTGAACCGTGAGAAGTTTTGACATTTTTTCTGCGCAGCTGTTTGCACTAAAAACGTAAAATTACTCATGCTGATAATGTCAATGAAAAAATGCAAAAAAAATTACAAAATTGAAATTCACTAAAAAAAGGAAACCTCTTCTCCAGAATTAAAAAGAGGTGAAATTATTTCTTGCACGACTCGGAATAATTTTCAAACCGTTGGATACCTAATTGGCAGCGCAAAGTGAATCTTTTTTGTAAAAAATATTAAATATTATCTCACATATTCTCCATCCGGGGATGAGCTTTCCTCTGCACTTGGTGAAAAAATTGTAACAATATTTACCCCGATGTTGTAATAAAAGTAACAATTCTTCGATAAAAATTCATCCGAAAATGGAATTTTTTGAAGAGCCATCGCCTTTATCACCAAACGTTAGGGTAAATTGAAGGAAAAAATTGTTTGAATGCGAGGAATAGCTTTTCAGATCATGTCTGAATTGCCGACAGAAGCCATTCACATCTGCCAACGGCATTCAGGAAAAAACCAAAACCGTAAAAAACCTCGTGCATTATCATCAAAGATGTTCATAAACCACAATAACAAAGTGTTGATACTGAAACACGGAATCCAGAGTTTTGTTTCATGTTGATCACTAACCGAGTGTAAGTGTTCGTTCGTCCATATACTTGGACGTGAACGATGTCGCCGACGTAGTTGTCATCGTTGACTCACCCTGATGTAAATGATGAAGACCAGCGAGATTGAGTGTATGCTGTGTGGTGTGCTGTGCATGATGCAGGCTTGCACCAACATTGACACCAAGACCCTGAAGGCTCAGTGGCTGTTGTGCATGATGTGGTGCTAGATTTGCTAGATTCTTAGCTAGCAACTCGAGCTGCGTCACGGGTACAGGACTATAGGGTGAACCAGGGGGTGGCGTGGGAGCGCCCCAGGTGTAACCACCAACCCCAACCCCAACTGCTGCTGAGAATACACTCTCTGAAACTGAAAATAATTCATTCCACATCTGGCTCTGTCATTTTTCAAGAGAACATTTTTACACAATCAATTAACCAGTTCAATAATTTGACCGTGCCATAAAACCGAAAATTACTGACAACTGCAAAATAAATCTTGAAAATTCAGAAAAGTCGGACTCCTATTTTCTTCGCACTATAATTTCCCTTTTTTATTAGGATAGGAACATTTTTTTACAATAAAAATTTAATTTGCAATGTCTTACGGGTAAATCGTAATTTCCGCTGTAGTGAACTATTGTTGGAATAGAAAATTTCAGTTGATTTGAGTTATTATCCAATTTCTCTATTGAGATCTACATAGACAAAGCATACCAGATATTTATAATGGAATTGCGGGGAAAATTCCAGTGCTTCTCGATAAAGCGGTTACAATGTCAGAATACGGTTAAAATTCGCGTGCTGCCCAATAAAAACTACTGCACCAACTGGTAAAGTTTATTATCACTGGGACTTAAGGCGATCGAGGATGACGCAATGCTACTCAATCCTTCATTCATATAACTCCTGTGGAATACCATAATTTCTGTCATTCAGTCAACAAAAGAAAACACGAAGAAATTAGCAATAACTCTGGTGACAGTCATTTTTCCTAGTATTAAAAGAAAAATAAAGTTTCTCTTCCATTTTATCGCTTGTATTTTTCATTGAAATAATTTCATTCGCCCGAAAAAGTATTGAACTCAGAGTAATATTTTTTCAACTTTTTCTCCGCGTAATCGAGTAATTCCATCTCATCAGTTGCATGATACCTTGGAATCTAAAAAGACGAAATGCATCTGAGATGTTCGTCTGGAAGAAAAATAGCAGAAAAGTTCTCAACAGAATTTCCCTCAGCAAAGTTTTACCACAGCATCACTGCACTAGTTATTAAAGAATAAATTCCCAAACTAGTGAAACTTTGAGTAACTAAACTAACCCGCATTCCCAAAAAAGTTCATAAAAAATTCAAGGAAGAGGAAACAAATAAAGAGATTTCCGCGGAATGATTTATCCCGCTCAATCCCCAATTTAATCCGGAAACGTCGTAAAAACCTAGTGCCATGAATATTAAAAGGTAACCCCACCAACACAGTGAATTGAAATTTATCGATGTTAGTTTCACTCGCTCCTTAGCGATAAATATGCAATAAACGAGTGGTCAGAAACGAAATAAATGGAAAATCTATGCAAATTCATTCGGCATCGGGTGTTGTTGAGACAGGCGTTAAAGAGAGTCAAGCAAAAAAAGCCACAAATTCAAGAGTCAAAAGCTGGAAATCCAACTTTTCACGATATCCCCATACAAATTTCAAGTTCCTCTCAATTTTAATCCCTCACCCCACCCCCTTGTATTTCGCTATCGCACTCACCTGTCCGCTCTGCCAACGCAAAATAATGCAGCGTGAAATAAATTTCCCATACATTAATGGATTTCATTAAGTGGAAAGATGATGGTGCCGGATGAGAGAGTGATGGCTTAAATTTTTCGTAGTACTTTAAATCGGCACGGCGGATAATTGAAATCGCCGATGAGTCTAGATTCGATTTTAGACAAGGTGTAGCAGGAGGCGGAGAGCCATTAAATACCTATCGCCCCAGGTACTCACTCATTCACTTTTTTTTTCCCCTTTTTTTTTAAACATACAAAAAATTTGCGCCAACATCCCCGCGAGAATATTGAACCGGAATGGACAATTACCCCATTGAAAATGGCATTTTTACTTTTATTTCGGTCAGGCTTATTCCCACCAAAATTCAAATGGATAGATTTTTGCGAGCTGTACGAGTAGTGGCGAGACGCGCGTTTTGGATTACCACCTTTGGACAATGAGGTTGTTGAAGGCCTTCTCTGTGTCGGAGAGACCCAGATACGTTCTATTTTCGTGGGGCTATACGCGCTCTCGCCGACCCCCGGAGTCCTGTTCCACCCGTGGAACCGGGGGAACCGGGGGAATTGGGGGGACACGGGGAATAGGAGGAGGGGGGGGAGAGGGAGGGGGCTCATTCAGAACTTTAATTGCATAATTGCAGCATTGTGAGCGTGCCGCCGCGCGAGCCCACCCTCTTTTCCCCACCGGCCACTTCTTCCGCACTTTCTTAAAAGGTAAAAGGGATTGGCGGCGTTAAGAATGAATTTAAGCCTCCGATTGTCGGGATTAAGCGCTGGATCCGGGGTTACGAGCTATGAAATATGTGTTCAGGGGGAAACTCCGGAGAAATCGGAGGAAAATATCCTCCAATCAAGAATCTATTTGAGGTATTTTTAGATCATTTTCATTGGGTCTCATTAATACTGTGTAAATGGATTTATTGAATTGAGCTCATCTCTGGATAGGAATGATCCGTTAACGAATGTTTCAGATTTTTTTCTCAAATTTTTATTCATGTAAAGTGTCGAACGGATTGATAGATTTTTAAAATTTTAGATTATTTTTTAATTTAATTTTTAATTATTAATTTCTATTTTTTTAAATTTTAAAAATTTTAGAAATTTAAAAAAATATGTTAAATAAATTTCAAATGTTCGGTGCCTTCGCGAATTTATTACTGAATCAAATTTGAAATTATCTCGTCATTTTACCAGATCAAGTCGAATCCCGAAAATTCCGACTTAATTCGCTTCAAAAATAATAAATTCATGACGTTCACCAATTTTTGCGAGACTGGTATGTCGTTTCTACGTTCTATCCCATAAAATATCTCAATCGTTGAGGAAAAATTAACGACTTGTCATCAACTCAGCAGCGAGTCATCAAACTGATGGGTAGTTTTACCGGGCCAGATCACAGAATTCAAGTGACATCTCGTACAATTTCTATTCCAGCTTACGCTTTTTAATAATCTTCACTTCGCTCGTAGACAACTGTTCTAGACCTAATTTTCATGTTCTTTTTATAGTAAAATTTATATCGGATTTTTCAATAGAAATCCCTCTCCGCGTGATGGAAAAAATGAAAAATTATTGGGTCCTCCATTATTACTGGGCAAGACGAGAGATTACATAAATGCATCGCGGCGATTTTAGAGGGGTCTTAAAAGGCGTTTCAGGGTGAATTTGGGAGGGGGAAATGGGGGTGGAGAGTATTTTTTATAAAGGGTGTTTGTTTTAGAGGGTGGCGTGGAGAGATGTGAAGTGCACGTGCTGGAAGTTGGGACCTCCCCGAATTATGCTAATACGCGCAGTTAGGACACCTTGGTGGTGATAGTCTGTAATTTAGGTGACAGGAACTCACCCTTGTGCGTGGTGGCATGGTAGGCACGGGCTGGGGTGGCTGCAGGTGTACCTGGCGTTGCTGCAACGTAACTCCCAGCACCACCCCCAGGGAACAAGGAGTACAGCTCGTATCTATTGACACCTGTAATGATTCGTTCACTTTGTTTATTATTAATGCATATGGACCGTTCACTCGTACAAATTTCAATTGCTATGATATCTGAATTTTCATTAATGTCTGTTTTATTAAAGTTCATTAAAATTCTTATTCATCTTGAAAATGCAATAAATTATTTTTTTGTTAATCATCGTGAACATTGAATATCAAATACTATTCGATTTCCGATTGATTGAAAATTTACTAAATTTATGGCTTGAATTTTCAATATTTTTTCTGTTTTCAGATGAATTTTTCAAAAAATTTCTAACGATCATTGAATTTTATTTTAACTAGATATAAAATTGTGACTAATAGACTTTAGAAACAAAAGGTTCACAACATTTTTTATCCAAAATATAAAAAAATTTTTTTTATTAATTTCTTATTATGATGAAACTGAATATTTTTATCATTGAATTTACATCATGATTGTCCCACAGGGAGAGAAATTAGTATAATTTTGAATTTGATAACTTGTACTGAAAAAAACAGTAATCATGGCTCACCCCATTGTTTACTATAGGGTAAATGAAATTTGGAATTATTCTCAGTGTGTTTATGCACACATGAAACACATGAAATCCAATTTCTCTTCCCCTTACTAATCCATTTATTCAAAACAGCTCTGATAATTGACAAAGTAAAATCAGAGAAAAACTCATACTCATTGAATAGGAAAAAATGAATGTAATTGTGATGAGACCTTGATTGTGTGCTGGGGCTGGGGTGGCAGCTAGGGGTGGCGTTGGCTGTGACTGTTGGTTGGCGGTTAAATTAGGTTGTGCAGGCGCTAGGGGCCAGAGTGTAGCTGTACCACCAGGAACCGAGCTCTGGGTTCCACGTCCCCCAGTGTCACATCCTGGACGACCGCCGGTTCCCCCTTGGGCCACGGGAGGGACCAACATTGGACCACCCCCTCCCGAGGCTGAAACAGAGAAAATGGTCAATTAATTATTTATTCACGTTTATGAGACTCCAGTGGGGGTGGGGAAAAATGGTGGTGATAAGCGTGTAGGGCACATGTAAGTAAATGGGGGTGGTTGAGATAAGGAGCATCTACTCGCTGGGGGGTAGCAACAGGTCGGCAAGCGTAATGTCTCTTAGATACACATACTCTGCACTTATGCACATAGCGGAAAACATTTTCCTCGTTTCTTCAACTTCTCTAACTTTTCATTTTTTTTTATTGTTATTGTACCTTCCCCCCACCTAAATCAGAATAATTACACAGAGAATTGCGAAATTGCAATATTTTTGGGGAATTTTAATAAATAAAGGGCATTTTTATTGATATTTTGTGGTATCAACATTGTTATCTTGAATATTTTAATGGAGTTCTCTCATTTTATATGATTCTATCCGACATATTACTTTTACCCAGTGTCCCGGGACATTCACACTGGACGTTCCATTTATCGAACTGCAACGGGAATTTCGAAATAATTCGTGTGTAATAAATATCTTAAATTATTCAACAGACCGAACTTTTATGTGGTACGAATAGAGCTCCCGGTTGCCAATAAGAGAGGTAGAGGGAACAAAAAAAAAAAAACTGAACATCCCAGGACGTAATCTCTGATGATGACGTCGTTATCCTCACAGTTTACCCAACGAGTTTTTACGTAAGCACTTCACCCTCCTGAATTCGCATTCCTTGGTCGGCGCACTTCACCTCGCCATGGATCATATCAAAGAGACAGATTTTTTCCGTATATTTTAAGGTGGATATTTTTTACAGTGAAATAAAAGAAAAAAACACGCCTCGGCCGTTTTTCCCCGTTTCTTGGCGTCTACGCAGTTGCCCACAGCTAGAATCCACTACACATATGCATTTGAAGTGAGAAGAAAGAGAGAACTTGGTGAGAGGGTGGGACAGGGGGAGGATTGGTTGAGCGTCGAATTTTTTACGAGCACCTGTTTCAGCATTTTCCTCTGGGTGTGCGCCCGGGGCCACGTCGTCAGGTAGTCACGCTTCGTAGGACCCTTTACGTGTGCTATATATCCTCCAGCGGCTTGAAAAACCTGTTCTTCCATTCTTATATCCTTCTCTCCTTTTTCCCCTTTTTTTTCTTTTTTTTCTCATTTTTTTAGATTTTTTTTCACGCATGAGACGCTAGATAGACGCACCCCCGTGGGGTCTCGCCGAGATTTGCAAATTGGAAAATTCTGCGCTTTCTCACTTTTTTGTAGAAGGGATATCCGGTGAAATCTATATTTCAAAGTGGAAGTAAAATGGGGCTGTTCTATCTATTTTATGAAAGAATTTATTTTGAAATAAATAGAGACGAGATCTACTGCGTGCGCCGCATTTGAATTTTCCGGTTTGAGTTGACCAATAGGAAATCACTCTTACGATTTTCGAGATATTTCGACTCAGGGGAACTTCATTTATGTGTCTCTGCTTTTAGAATAAGCGGATAGATGAAGACATCTGATGGAATTAAAAAAAAAAGAAATTGAAATTGAGATTTCTGAGACCAGATTTCTGAGTCTCGGATTACGCAGGATTTTTAATTAATATAAGAGAATATATTCTCAGGAATTTTTAAAATCTGTATTAATTTCCATGCAATAACAAAAACGCAATTGACGATCTTGAGATTTTCAATTACAATCTCTTGAATTTAAGAAACTGCCATTTGCTGAGGAATATTTGTTATTTAAGAGAGAACACGCGGCATCAGTAATGACTCTGAATAATTCCATTAAGTAAAAGAAAATTGTTTTAGGGATTGAATCAAATATTTTCACACAGTAATTACAAAAATACAAATAGAAAAATTCGATTAGAACTATTATTGTCGTACTATCTAAGAAAATACTTAAGCGGTTGAGGAATGAATGAGCATACGTGCATCTGTGTTTATTTATTCTCTTCTCATATATCCCAGGCGCTTTGCAACCGATTCACATAAATTACGAAGTGCCATATTTCTGACGATTAATTGACTTTTCATTGGTGGTTCCTGGTATGTTCATGAACGTCGTATCATCAATATTTCTGACGCAACTACTCATGTCAATATGTTGATACTTGCATTAAATTATAGACATACAATGTAGATACACCGTAAGCAAATCAAAACTTGGCATTTCTCATAATTAACGATCATAAAAATCAAATACCGATTAACCGAGTTCATCATCACTAAAAAAGTTATCACTCTTGAACTATTAAAATTTTAATAGTTGTATACATCTTGAGTTGTATAAAATTTCATGGAAAATATTGGAGTAATTTTGAGATTCAAATGTTTTCCTGACAATTACAGTAATTTAAGGGAAGTTTTACTATCTGGAAGCAATTGATTCTTGAAAATCCCGTTTTCGTTTCTCTAGTGAATTCAGTAATTCATCAGCGTCTGAATTTCTCCGGAGGTTTACTAGGAATTACTTATATTAAATATGATCTTAAAAATATGATCATAAAAATATTATTAATCACGCAATCATCAGATTTTTCAATTATATGAGCTTGAATATCATTTCGGTTTTCTTAAAAATTCTCATGCTCATCGTGAAAATTCAATTTTCAATAGATCGAAAACCATTGAAAACCAATCACGGAAATTATTGCCGTTGTTAAAAATTTATTGTTTCTAATCGAAATTGCAAGTGTAATTTCCCAATAGCGTAGAACGATGACATTTTCTCTGTAATAAAAATTTCTCGGTCATACCCCACAAAATTATGAGTTACGCACATTCCCTGGATATTTTCCAAACAATAAAGATATTCCAAAAAAAAAAAATCATCCTAATCTCTGCCTAAACCCAGTCAACATCCCGAGCTCCTAAAACCCCCCTGTTCCCCCGAGAATCTCAAATTTCTTCAACCACATAAAATCAATACACATGAACTCACTCCATATATCCCCCAAAATTAACATTCTAAAAATGTGAAACCCCTCCCCGGACTTTTCCTCAAGAAGCCGAAATCCCCAGCAGATAAAAACCTCGCAATTTCAATTCTCCATTCTCCACGGTCAAATTTCAAAAACACATCAGCAAATTCCATGCTCCCCCTATAAAACTCCCATCAGTAAGACACGATGTTTGATGTACACAGAGAAATAAACATAAAGGGATAATGTACATATGAGTGCAACCCCCCAAAAATGGGCAGAGGGTGGGCGGGCGCTGTGAGATGGTGGCCGGGGGGGGGTGACGCGGTTGCGATGGGGCGAGGGGGAGTGGGTGGTGGGTGGATTGAGATAGAGAACAGAGAGATTGTAGAGCGGTGTAGCCTGTGCGGGTCGATATACGAGTGAGTCCAGGCCACACGTCATCACGAGGGGAGAGTTACAAGGGAAAAAGGGGGTAAAGAGGGAGAGGAGATGGGGGGGGGTAGAGTACAGAGATAGTTGGATTATATACGCAGGCTTTCCATGCATGTGCAAAGCCACGAGCAGAGTAAGGTCGCCTGTCACGTCCATACCAGCGATTCCTCGTGAAATATACGTTTAAACCTCCCCTGATGCCCCCTTGAAACTGCCAAAGTGTCATGACGATCAAGTTTCCTCTCCTGCCATTATATTCACTTTTTTTTTTTTTTTTCGTTCTCCAGCGTCTAATGGCGTAGGACACACACATGCACGAGTTGGGTTACGCTTAATAGCTCTAAATACATTCTGACGTGCTGAAAATTGCCCGTTGGTCATCGGGGTCTGTACTCAGAAGTAACTTATGTACGTTACCACTGAGGGGTGAAAGAGGTTTTCTCGATTTTGGTGATAAAATTGATGTATGCGTATGTAGGCGCCCCCAATGTTATTTGAGTAAAATGGTTCAACCCTTTGGGATGTATCCTGGTGAGATAATCAAACGTGTAAGCCATACGGCGCTTTCGGAGGCGTCGTGGGAGGCCCTCCTGCAATTCACATTTGAGTTTATCATTCATCTGACTCTTTCGGTTCTTGGAGAAAATTATTTTTTTCCGGGAGCTCGCGCTCTTTATCTCGCTGGTTAACAGGCATTAATCTTATGAGTTGTTCTTTTAGTTGGTGCAGAAAGAAATATACTTGAATCAAGTTTATTTTAGACTTTACTCCAATCTGGTATAGTTGATTTTCAATGCGAAATCATTTACAATGTGTTTGTCATGATCAAATGTTTTTTTATTTTTGTGTACACGAAGAGGAATAGTTGGTGCAAGTTACCTATCTTTTCCGGAATCCCGAAATTAAATGATTCAGAAAAATTTTACGGAACTCGTATATATATATATATATGTAAATAAATACGTATTATTTAAAAAATTGATATGATAAGGGGGAGATTATGAAATTACTGTGGAAGGATTTGTTGGAAAATTTATGTGAGAAATCAGGATTTTTCAATGATTTTGTTGTGAGGATGACAGTATTTTTAGAATTTCTGGAAATAGATTGTATTTTTTCGGATGTTCTGGTGTATCAACATTGTTATCTCGCGTGGTTTAATGGAGTTTTGTGATTCCAATTGACGAGAGGTTCGACGATTGCTGTTGAAACTATTTTTTCACGGAATATTTAATCAATCAATACAGGCTTGATGAAGCTTGTTAGACTATTCAGTGTTCCAATTTTTAATACATCTTCCGGAGTCTGAAAGGAACCGAAAATTTTAGGAGAGTTTCATGTATCTCTTACGTGACGACGTAGAAAGATTACGAAACTAGAAACAACAAATGTTTAGTTGTTTGTAAATTTGTTTTTGAATTGAAGCACAGTCAATTGGAATTTCAAACCCATTTAGTGCTGCATATTATTAACGATTTTTTTTTCAAAATTGACGGCTTTTTTTAATTAGTTGAATCTAAACAAGATTTTTACCAACCGCATTTTTTATTCTAGTCTATTCCACTTTTTCGAATTTTCGGAGAATCTCACTTAACGGATTATCAATCGACTATAACAATTAAATATTGAATTTATCTATTTATATT